ATAGGAAAGAAGATAATTTGCTTTAACTTTATAGGCAGAGCTAAAAACAGATAAACACTGCTTCTATTTTTGCAATGCCATATAAGCTAAAAAGTGAACATGACCAATGTACACAGGATGTAAAATCTGGAGACGAAAACAGATTCTTACATAGCAAAGTGTAATCGGAAAGCTGGTTTTGAACCGACATTTTGGTAGATTGACTATTATTATAGTTGAAGAAAGAAATTTGTTTCACAAGCAAATTTTCATCTTCCTGAAGCTTGTATGTACACAGAACACAGGCACTCCAGAGATGGTGTGAACTTTACTCTTGAGGAATTCCCTGGAGGTCCAACTTAGTCATTGCTGTGACTCGGCACAGTCTTGGGATTTCTAGGTAGGGCACAAGGCTTGTGGACGAATTTAGAGAAGATAACTTGGGCCACTGAAAATACTCATGTTGAAGTTGTTTGCTGATGTTCTGGTTAACAAGAATCTGTAATTCAACGTGCAAAATCAACACTAGAGGCCTGGACTGGTGAGTCAAGGTGCTTGATGACCTGAATTGAATTTCAGAACCCACATGGGAAAAGGAAAGACTCAGCCTCCATGATCTGTCTTCTGACGGCCATTGCCAATGTACCCACACAGAAAAAAAAAATAGTAAACTGAAATAACACTAGAGGCCTCCATCTAAACTGACACAGGTACACTGAAGCACAGACCAAACAGTCCTAATTTGAAAATCCTGAACCTTTTCATAAGGACTTGATGCTACAAGTGGAAAATTCCAGGCCTGAGTCTTGTGATGGTCACCGTCAAAACAGAGGTGTGGAAAAATATTTTATAACATCACCTTCATGCTGTGTAGATAAGGTACATCTGAAACAAAATGAAGTCTGTGTTTATGCTTGAGTGCACACAGACATCCGCAGACCTGAAGCGTTTCTGATGATAGCCAGCCTTGAGTGTTCTGCTGATAATCACCTAAACTTTGACGGCCCACCTTCCCACCTTCAAAGAAGTGCTCACTGGATTTTCCTTCCCCTTGTCTTTAACCTTCTGTCGCTTTATTGAGCACTGTTGGTTTGGAAGCTGGCTCAGTTCTGCCACCTGGAAGCCCTATTCTGACTCTTGAGTGACTTCAAATGTGAGTATGGGTGGGAAAGAAGTCAGGGTTAGGATAATTAGGAGGGAGTAGAGGGGTGGGACAGGAGAGGGTGTGTCTTCCTATAGGTGAGTGGGACACAGAGTTCCTGAACCCCTAAAAGTGAGGAGGGCCTGGGGCAGGAGAGATGGCTTAGTGGTTAAGAACAGTGACTGCTCTTCCAGAGGACCTAGGTTCAATACCTAGTACCCAGATGGCAGCTTAAAAAAAGATTTATCTCTTTATACATATGAGCACTCTATCTGAATATATGCCTGTATGACACAGGAGAGCACCAGATCCCATTATAGATGGTAGTGAGCCACCATGTGGTTGCTGGGAATTGAACCCAGGACCTCTGGAAGAGCAGACAGTGCTCTTAACCTCTGAATCATCTCTCCAGCTCCCACATGAGCAGCTTAAAACCATCCGCAAATCCAGTTCCAGCGGACCCAATGCCTTCTTATGCCATACATGGGTCCTGCATACAAGTGATACTCAGATACACACGCAGGCAGAAGACCCATACACAGAAACACTGAGAGACGCCCTGGAGGCCTACCCATCAAGGAGGTGGTTTTACCTGTTTGTTCTGTCCTGTCATATTTTGCATGTGTCTGTAACCCATACGTGAACTCAGGACCTCTGGATCATTTGTTGATATATATTTACAATTTAAAATTGGTCATATTTGGGACAGGAGTGAGGGCTTGCTGGTTAAGTGTTTGCTGTGCGAAAATGAGGGCTGGAGTACAGATTCCAACACTCACATAAAACGTAGGTGTGATCCTGTGTACACCTGTTATCCCTGCCTTGAAGGGGGCAAAGACGGGAAGGTAGCTGGGTTTGCTGGCTGCCCCAAACCACACGCTCACGTGAGAGCCTCCCCCTGGAAGAAACAAGGTGGAGAGTGATGCAGGAGGCGCCCCGTATCTGCCTCGATTGCTATAGGCGCACACAGATGCACACGTATGCGTGCACATCGCGCAGACGCACAGACACGCAACTCTTACCCAATCCGTGCTGCCGCTGCCACAGTGCCACCACGGCAGCGCTTGCCCAGCACTGCCACGTGTCAGAATTCTCACTCAGTATGTGTCATCCCATCCAGTCCCCAGGCCTCCCATCGTGTGCAGGCTCTATCATGATAAAGGCTCTGGGAATTAACTTCCTAAGGTTGTTCCTCATACAAAGCGAGTTTGGAACTGAGGCCATGATTCACATGGCCTAACATTTGCTTCACAGTCTTGTATAGCCGTCCTTGCTCTCTAACTCTGCACAGAGAAACCCAGCACTCGTCAGCAATCTCTCCATCCTCACCCCCACTCCACTCCCACCCTGGTGTTGTGTGACAAGACTTTTCTCCGGGGAGACACAACACACACATCTACTCACCTCACATGGGGAACCCACAGCCAGGAAAGGTAGGACACCACAAAGTCCAAGCTGGTGAGCCGCTGGGTTTTATTGGGGTCACTCACAGGAGCAGAAATGACTCAGCGACAGCTGCAACACCACAGCCCACGCCTAGCGTGCGTGGCAGCTCACCAAAGCTGGGCCCGGACCGCACTGCACAGCCTATAGACAACTCAACGGCTGGAAGCTGCGCTTTCCAGGTTCCTCAGCGGCCCTAAACCTCCTCCTGGCAGCTTGTCTGCTCTCCGCCTCCTCCAGGCGGCAGGTCTGGTTTCAGACTGTTCTTTGCAGCTTGTCTTGTCTGAGAATGACTCTCAGCAGCCTTTATTGTTTGCTGTTGGGAGAGAGGGGCCTAGTGAATCTTGTCAGTTTTAGGGACTTCCTGAAGCTGTTTTGAGTTGTTTACCTTCTGGCGTAAGGAACTTCCCTATAGAGTGGAATGCTGCAACCTGGGAAGAAACTGCTAAAGACCTGGGTTGCCATGGACCCACTTTGTTTCTATACATACGTGTTTTGGAATATCATATAAATGCAACCGCACCGTTTATAGTCCTTTGTGACTAGTTTATGTCAATATTGCTTGAATCCATGCATGTTGTGAATAATATCCCATTGAATGCATCTTGTTTAGATTCATGTGCAGGACATTAAGTTGATAATGCTTTTTTTTAAAAACTGTTGTACAGTAAGTGACATTCATGGTTCATGGACAGGTTTTTGCACGAGCATCTGGTTTCAGTTCATACACGGGCATTTTCAGACTTGGGGTTTGTCTTAATCAGTGTTATATTGGTATAAAGAAGCCATGACCATGGAAACTCTTATAAAGAAAAACACTTAATTGGGGCTGGCTTCCAGTTTCAGGGATTTAGTCCGTTATCATCATGACAGGGAGCATGGCAGGATGCAGCAGACATGCTGCTGGAGAAGAGTGAAAGTTCTACATCTGGATCCCCAGGAAGAAAAGAGAGACAGTGAGACACTGGGCCTGTTCCAGCTTTTGAAACCTCAAAGCCCACCCCCAGTGACATGCTTCTTCCAACAAGACCACACCTCCTAATCCTTCTGAAGGGGGGCATTCTTATTCAAACCACAGAGTTTTTCTGGATTTTATATTCTTAGCAAATCCTTTTTTATATTAAAATACCAAAAACAAAAACAAACAAACAAACAAAAACAGGGCCTGGAGAGATGGCTTAGAGGTTAAGAACACTGGCTGTTCATCCAAAGGTCTTGAGTTCAATTCCTGGCAACCACATGGTGGCTCCCAACCGTTTATAGAAAGATCTGGTACACAAGGATACATGCAGGCAAAATGTAGAAGTAAACAAACCAGTTGTTTTAAAGCTGTTTCTTCTTGTCTGTATTCACACCACATGTAAATAGGTGCCTGAGGAGTCCAGAAAAGGGTGTCAGATCCCCTGAGCTGGAGCTATGCCCAATTGTACACCACCCTCTGTACATACCAGGAACAGAACCCAGCTCCTGGAAGAGCAGTCAGTGCTCGGACTGGAAGGGATAGCACTCCAGCTGCCGGTTTACTAAATCAATCTCTCCCTTCCCCTTGCCTCTCCTCTTTTTCCTTCCCCTCTCCATTCTTCTCTCCTCCCCTATCTTCCCACCCCATATAAGCTTGTTTGGGGGTTGTCTTCTCCAAGCATGTCCTGTTTAGTCCTGGAAAGCCTATTCCTCCACTTTCATTCTGTACAAGGCCTCACATCTTCAGCCCAGAAGGCCTTTCTGTCTCTGTAGCCTACAGTCCCTTTTTCCTCCTGTGAGAATGCATGGAAGGGCCGTTTTTTTGACATTTCACCCTCTTGTCACAGCTTGTACTTCCTAGCTTTTATGCCCCTTGAGGGCAGGGCTGAGGTCTGACTCACTCCCTGTTCCCTGCAATGATTCCCTTGCCTTTCACTGTAGGCACTAATGAATATTCAAATTTGTGAACTGAATAAATCCCTGGCTAGTTGCCAACTGGTTCTGATTCACTTGAAACCTGTTGCATTTCCTTGTATAATTAGTATTACAATGGTCCTATATTTAACCAGGTCTTTTGGTGAGGAAGGAGGTGGTGAGTGAGGTCATGCTTTCTTGTGCTCTCTAGTCTCCCTGGCCTCCTCCTTTGGGTTAGTGGACTGCAGCCTGTCTGCCATCTTTTCTGGAATACTCAGAACATTCCCAGTCCTTGCTTCTTGAGCTCTTGAATTCACAAATGGCACTACATGAAGTTAAAATGTTCCAAAGTAAAGGAAGCTATATGCATAGCAAACAGCCTACAGAATGGGAGAGAAAGCTTTGCCACTTATATACTTCAGACAAGGGGATGACATGGAGAGCTTGGCAGACAAGCTGGGCAGGCTTATTTATGGGATGTGGTGAGGCTTGATAGGAGCCCCCTTTTCAAGTTTCAGGAAAACTGATAAGGTGGTCTGTCTAATCATCCTTTGGAAGTCCCATAGAAAGGTAGCCATCTTGAGTGCATAGGGACACAGTCAACCAGAGCTTTTTGGTTGGCCTGTTGCTCACAGCACACTTTTCCTGTATTAGTTTTTTCCTTGGAGTGACAGAGCACCTGACAAAAGGAAAGAAGGAAGGATGGCAGGTCACATTGCCTGTGCAGTCAGGAAGCTGATAAAAGCTGACGCCCACCTGACCTTTTCTAGCTTCTCCATCATGGGGCCCCAGCTCATCGGATGGTGCAAACCTACACTGAAGGGGGGTCCTCACAGCTCAGTTCATCTAATGTGGAAACTTCCTTCCGGACAGGTCCAGAAGCTGGTTGCTCAGGTGATCAGAGGGCCTATCAAGTTGGTGACACCCATCCAGCAGCCCCTCCCTCCGTGTAGAACTGTGGAAGGGGCTCTCAATCCTAACAGACCACTTACTAGAAGAGGCATAGGCTGCATCTCATAAATCTCATCCAAGCTTTAAGGAAACCCAGATGTAAACATTAATAAGCCCTCCTCTCCAGCCAAGTCCCGTTGCCGGGCAACTGATAGGCAGGCGTATTCTAGTGTTAGAACACACGTTCTGCAAGATGCGTTTCCCATTCATTCATTCCTTCTTGTTTCCATCTTGGCTCTTCTAGCACTTTCGTATGACACACCTTCCCTCTGAGGATTCTGAGGCTTTGTTCTTGGTCCTAAAGCAATCAAGTTATCTGTTATCTGTCCCCTGCCCAGTGACTGACTAGATAAGCAGGGCTGGGGGCTACCATCCTCCTGGAGCAGGAGTTCTAGCTGTTACACAAAACTGGCTGGGATGCATGCAGACTTCCACAAAGATGTGGAATCATATTCTCCAGAGGCTTTATTTATTTATCTATCTATCTGTGGGGGGAAGGTACATTTTTCAGGTGGGAGGAAAGCTGGCATTTTAAGGGAAACTATTGTAGTTGAGTGTGGGATCAGTTAGAGTGTGGTAGAGTGTGTGGTGTTAATACTTTACTGTTCATGAAATTACAGACTGTAACAGAGAATTTCTTTGTTTGTTGTGGTTGGTTAAGTTTCATGTTGCCAGTACACTTTAAAACAAAGGAGGAGGTGCTTTCATGTCTATTTTTGAAAATATTTCCACACACCCCTTGCTTTTCCATGAAAGATGTATTCTGTCCATTCCTGGTACGGGCTCAGGGACCTGCTCAGAGAGGGCCTCTGAGAGCCTCCTTTTAGTGCCTTTGTGTATGTGTAGCTACGGCAAGTTCAGACTACAGTGTGCCTGGCCTGTACCCGGTGCACACGCGAGAGGACGGCCTGGCCAGTGAAGCCCTCAGGCCTGTTTCCACCCGAGTGCACGCTCTCTCTGTGTAGCCCTCACAGATCAGCACTTGGGCCTAGTCTGCTGCCTCTCCTCCATGTTGGTTTTTGTTTCTTTGTTGGTTTTCAGTAAAAAGCTCTTGATATATTACCTAGGCTGGCCTCAAGCTCCGGATCCCCAGCCTCAGCCTCCTCAGTGGCTGGGATTCCAGCATGTGCCACCATCCCTGGTTTAATATTTAAGTCCTTGTTCTCTCCAATGCTAAGTAAACTCTTTTTAGTGACCTCATCTTCTCTGGCAGAAAACTTAGTTCCAGGTTTCAGATTTCCTTAGACAGTTCCAGGTGTCCTCTTCCATCCTCCAGGGTGGTTTCAAGATGCTGGGAAGTTTTGGAGTGCTCAGATTGGGGGCTGGTGTGATGGAGTATGATGATATCAATCATTGTCCAGCTTTTCCACTTTCGTCCTTGTTTACCATCCACCACCCCGAAACTCTCCAGTGTGAGCACACACACACACACACACACACACACACACACACACACACCCATAGTTCCCACCAGCCCAAGCTCACTTGAACTATTTTCTCAAGAGTCCTTTGGTCCATAATTCATTCACAATATAGTTTAAAGACCAGTGTTAATGAGTCTCATATATTACCTAATGTGTAAACTAGTCTCTGGACATACCTAAGAAAAAACAAGCTGCCTATTTCCCTCCGCCCTCATACCGCAACCTACACAGACCTTTATGACCTCAAAAGCGTGCAGATTTTGTTCCACCAGCAGAGAGCGATGATATGGCGATAAAAGGAACCAGCTGTGTGTTCTCTAATCCAATTCAGCTCGGAGGCTGGGAACCTGGCTATGTCAGGTACAACAGATTAGGAACTCAGTCCTTAAGATACCCTGCCTTTAATCAGATGCCAGCTTGGAACCCCAGGTTGGTATCTGTTTGGTCTTGTTGTGGAGACTGGGTCTTTATATAGCCAGGATGGCCTGGAATTTGTGATTCTTCCTCATCCTCCAGACTGGTGGGATTCCATGTTCGTGTCTCCTTGCCCTGTCCCAGGTTTGCTTTACCTGAACTTCTGACACACCTTCTATAGATTCAGGTTCTCACTCCTGTCTCCTTGGGCTCCGTTAATGTGGTGCAATCAGGGAAAAACACCAGGCTATCAGCAGATTCTCTATAGCAGTGGGTCTCAATCTTCCTAATGCTGGGACCCTTTCATACAGTTCCTCATGTTGTGGTGACCCCTAACCACAAAATTATTTCATTGCTGCTTCATATCTACAATTTTGCTCTGCTGTTATGAACGGCAGTGTAAATATCTGATATGCAGGATATCTGATATGCGACCCCTGTGGGGTTGCTACCCACAGGTTTGTAGCATACAAATTAGATGCCAGAGGGTGTTCTGGGGGAGGCCTGTGATGTTCCTTGCCTTCTCTAGGTCTAATATTCTGCAGGAACTGCCATGTTTGGCCATCCACAAGCTATGCCCTGTCCTTCGGGTTTTTGTGGAGCCCTCTTTACATGGTCATGATTACTAATAGATTGGCTGGGGAAATCCAACAGTGCTTATCTATGACACTATTCTTCATGGCCTCTCAGCTCAGCATTCTTCCTCCAGAGAGGGCAGGCCCCATCTGGAATGAGGGAGTTTTTGTGTTGTTTGTTTTGATCTGCTATTGGGCAAGAATAGACAGGTCAGAGCTCTTTAAGGCCAGATCCAAGAATGTGAGGGCAGATTAAGAGTTTCTGTGACCTCCTTTGGAGAAGAGAAATTCATTTCTGCAGTTGCCCTTTGGAAAGGGTTTATAAGCCAGTAACCATGGACAAAGGCCAAAACATACATACCATAAAGAAAGCCCTGACTGCGAAAGGCGAAGCTTCTGTATTTCAAATGGATGGACAGTGCATGCTGAGGTTGCTGGTCCACGGGCCACAGTTTGAGTAGTGAGGTCACAGGGAGAGGATCTCGCTTCAATAGAACTTTTAGCCTTCCTCTTTTCTTATCTGCTCCAGAATGTTGAGTGGTAACAGGAGGACCCTTTTTGGCTAAAAGGCTTCGAAGCCCTTCCCATCAGTACCTCTTGATCTTCAACAAACGAAAGAACAAACATCACTGATTAATGAATGAATGAAGGCACCGCAGGTCCCAAAGATGCACCTAAGTTCCCTTTGAATGACTCTGAGCCTTCCTTGAAATGTCACTCTCGATTTTGCCCAGGCCATTATGAGTTATCTCCTCCTTGAGTACTTCTCCCGGAAGAGAAAGAGACCATAGCCCTCTCCTGTTATTTTGCATGCCCTTAGGCAATCTCCAAAATGAACCACTGTCTTTCCTCGAATTGAGAAATAAAATGCAGAAGGGCTGACATGTCACTTCTGAGATGAATTTGACGGAAGGACTGACTCCCCGCTTTGGGACACTCATGCTGGGATACAGCTCTGTGACGGGAACACCAAGTCATTGAGCCCTGGAGGTCCAACCCTCCCAGGGAATCCTGAATCCTAGGAGTAACAGTGTTGGCTTGGATTCTGTCCCATCAGGGCCTGGGATGCGCGTAGCCTCCCCTTACTGCCTGCCTTAAGCCCAGGGAAGGCCTTGAGCCACAAACACACAGCTGAGTTCGCCAGTTTCTGCCCCACACGATGTTTTGTTGCCCAATTTGGGGACAGCTTGTTAAGTGGTGACAGATAACAACTGCTAAGGTGCCAGGTGTTTGGAGGCTATTAAAATACATGGAAGATTATGCACAATCCAAGTGGAAAGAGGATTCAGCGCTGGGTTGGCCGGCGGGTGGAGGAACTGTGAACCCTCCTGACCCGTGCGAGCTTCACCGCACCACTGCCTTCGGACTCGTGTTCGCAGCGTGGAAGTGGGGGCGTCTGGATTGGAGAGTCAGTTTAACCCCTGTAGCAGCCACGACCTGACCCCTCTGCTTCACCGCCTGCCTGGCCTGTAAAGGAACCTTTACCTCCAGGTTGGAGAGGGGGGTCCTTGGCCTGAGCGCCATTTCTGTCTCGGGAGCTGGCTTTAGGAAGCCAAGAAAAGCGCGTCTGGGTACGTAAAACTGCCAGGGGCTGGGTGACGCTGGCCCTTTGTCACCCCAGCCACCCCGAGAAGTTAGGGAGAGACGCCACGGCAGAGGGGCCGTCCCCGGAAAGCTCCGGTTCCAACGCTGTGAGACTCGGGGAAAAGCGATAAAGGGCAGAGGAGAGAGCCATCCCCCGCAAAGCGGGGCAGCCCTGTGTGCCGCCCAGGCGAGAGGCTCAGACTTCTGAAGTTGGACGGAAGAGCCGGGAGACCTAGAGGAAGGGATCCCAGCTGGGCGCCCCGGGGGCGACCGCCGCGCAAGTCAACTTCCCGTGAGAGCGGGTCCTGCGGGGCGGGGCGTGCCCGGGGCGGGGCTGCCGACGGGGCGGGGCTGCCCGGGGGCGGGGCTGCCCGGGGGCGGGGCCGGAGCCCGGCGTCCCCGCCCACTTCCCTTCCTCGCCGGGCCGGCCGGCTGGCGCGACCTCTCGGGCGCTGACGCGCGGGGAGGGGAGGAGCCCGCCGCCGGCCGCCGTCTCGGGACGATGCCCGCACCCCGCCGCGCCCCGAGCCAGCCCCCGGCCGTCGGCAGCGCCTCGGGCCGGCGCGTGTGAGCGGGAGCGGCGGGAGAGGAGCGGCCGCCCGCCCGCGATGTCACCATTGTTCAGCTGGGTGGCCAAGGTAGGCGGCGGCGGGCCGGGGCCGCCGCGGGCCGGGGGCCTCCAACCGCCGGGCCGCGGCGCCGGGCGGGGGGCTGGGGGCGGACGCCAGGCCGTTCGGGCGCGTGCGGACTGGTGCTCGCTCATTCATTCCTCCCCGCCGCCGGCGAGCCGCCTCCCAGCAGGCTTCGCGCCCGTTCCCCGGCTGGGGACACTGAGGCACAGCCCGAGCCGTCCCCCAGCCCAGCTGGCGACCCAGACCGTGGGACCCACCCCGCCGCCCTGGACCCTGCGCCCCGCGTGGCCGGGGCGGGTCCCCCAGGATGTTGCCCCGCGCTAGCTCTAGCCCGCAGCCCTCCGAGGACGCGCTCCGAGGTCTCACCGCGAAATGGAACTTTCTGTCCGCACAGTTTGAGGACTGCAAAACTCCCGCTCTCAGGGCTGAGCCGGAGACGCCCAGGCCGGCGCCCGGCTGCTGGGAAAGTTGGCGGAATTGCCAGCTTTCCCTTGCAGCCTCGCCGGGGTTGTGTGCGTTTTGACTGATGCGAAGACGCCCAGCTCCTCTGGTGGATGAGTGTCTCTAGTCCCTTAAAGCCGTTAGCTTGCCTCCTACCCTAAACAGAGTTAATTAGGTGCGGGTGTTACCTCCAGTTATGATGTGAAGGGTATGTGTGTGTTTCCTAATTACGTTTTTCTGAATACCTGTTTGGGAGCAGATGTGGCTTCGCCTGTAATTTAGGTGATAAAGTGGAGACAGAAACTAGAAAGGGCTAGTTGTGAGATGACACCAAGGAACAACATTCCACTCCTGAGTCCTCACCAGAATCGCCTCCGGAAGCAGCTGCTGATACATTGAGAGGGTTTGTTTAAAAAAAAAAAAAAAAATTGAGCTTGTGCACAAAGTATAATTTTCCACTGGGGGGAAAAAGATGTCCACATTTTTGCTTTTAAAGACTCTCTAACTTTCCTAAGTAACGCTAAGCTTTAAAAAAAAAAAGTATTAATGTAGCTTATGAAGCGATTCAAAGTCCTATTCTTCAGGTACAGACTTGAGTTGCTTTGTTATTTATTGTTGCTTTTAATGTTGTACTGCAAGGGGAAAAATTTATCTTCACAGAGATGTTTCATTCCAACAACAGAAAGGAGTATTGTAAAGATCTGTTTCTTTTTTAAAAACTGCTACTGCTTCTTTGTTTTTAAGTTTTATTTACTTCTCTGGAACATGTTTAATAAGTTGCTGGTCACTGTGGGAGTGGAGTGAGCTGGACCTTTGTTTACCTTCAAGAGGTACTTCGGAAAAGTTCAGACAGGCGCACTCTGTGCTCACTTGCTTGATTTTGATTCTGAATTATGTTATTTCTGAACTGGTGTTAAAACAAAAACCCACTGTTTATAGAGCACATTTCTCTTTAGCGCTCACTTTTATTTATTTATTTGAGAAAGGGGCTCACTATTTACCCCTGGCTGGCCTGAAACTAGTGTGTGTGTTTGTGTGTTTATATATCTTGAACTAGCTTTTTTCACCCAGTGTTATTTTGCAAATGGACAGTGTAACTTTTTTGAGAGTTTATCTCATAAACGGGGGTACTGTGGTGCATACCTGTAATCCCAGCATTGAAGTAGAGGGAGGAAGGTCAGGAGTTCAAGGTCATCCTCAGCTGCATACTGAGGCCATGTCAGTCTTGGCCTCAAGAAACTCAGTCTCAAAATACAAAACAAAACAAAAAACCAGACTAAAACGAGCTCCCTAAGAAAGAAAGCTACTTGGGATTAGAGACTGTAAGAGTGACATTGGTTTTATGGGGACCTGTGCAGACCCCTGTTTGGTTTATGGTGAAGACTTCCAGTTTAAAGTAGGGAGTGGTCCAAAGGCAGAAGACAAAGGCGTAGATGACACACAGTGGGCGTAATCCTCATGTGCATTTATATTAGATTTAAAAATGCCTACGATCACCAGATGCACACAAGCACAGGCCTCGCCATCGCTCAGCTGATTCAGTTTCCGATTTGACCTTTGGCACTGAAGTTCTGCACCTGGCAGAGAAGAAAAAGGGGAGTGGGTGTTGTTGATGGGCACCTGGGTATCATTTTCCTTTTGTGAATGGGGACTTTGCAACCCTGTAGCCAGCAATTTAACAACCTAGATGAATCAAACCTAGATGGAAAAAAGTTTAAGACTTTTAAATGAGCATGTCACTGTTCTGACTGGAGCGCGGGCACGGATGTGCATTGAGTACAAGATGGCAGGGCTTTACGTACAGTCTCTTCATGAATCTTCCTAGGGATACTTGTCTCCCATGCCCCATAAGAAGTACAAAGGAACTTCCCAAGCTTTTATGGTTTTTAGACTAAACCCAAGATGTTTCCCCAAGCCTGGCAGCTTTGAACTTGTCTGTTGATTAGCTCTTTGCCTCTGTGTATCTGTTAATGAAAACTGACCTCAGAAAACCTGCTGGCTAACCCTAGGATCTACTGGATTTGTATCTGCCTGTGAAGATTGTGACTAGGGTTATTGGCAGTGCCACAGGATTTTGAGTGCATGTGCATAAGCCAGTTCACAGATAAACATGGAAAATGCCATATAAAATGTAGACAGAGTTTCTGTGTCTTAAATTCAAGGTATTTTCATATGGCTTGTGCCATATATTGTTTTCCCGGGCTTATAGGCTTATCCAGCAAGGATATGTTGGATATTGTCTGTGTGCCAGGCTGTATGCACACTCTAGAGGTGCATTTTACACAGTAGTTTTGCCCTTTAAAAGCTGTGCACGGTGAAGATTGTCATTTTTGTGTTTTGTTTGAGACAGAATCTCACTTTGTTACTCTGACTGGCCTCAAACTTGTGATCCCCCTGCCTCTGCTTCCCAAAGTGTTTGTGTATGTCTGTGAGGGCATACACAAAGGCAGTCTTCCTATAAATTCATGGAGACTCCTGTCTCTTCCTTCTACATGTTGAGATTAAAGACATGCACCACCATGTCCAGGTCACACTGAAGTTTTATAAGGCAAACATTTTAAGCTGCTTTAGGGAAGGAATGATTTTTTAATATAAATAATTGATTGCTAATAACTAAAACCAAGCTTTCCATATTTTGTCTTTGTCATTAGGTCATTTAACACACAGGTATGTACAGGGCACCTGCTGTATACCCAGGCTGCTATCAGGATCTGGGGTTCAGCATGGAGAGGTGGTAGACCAGTTCCCTGTTTTTGTGGTCTTTGCTTTCTAGTCAGGAGAGACAGAGTCACAAGTAGACAAGAAAGGTGGTTTCAGCTGGTGGTCAGTGCTGGGACAAGTTCAAAGCTGCCAGGCTTGGGGAAACATCTTGGGTTTAGTCTAAAAACCATAAAAGCTTGGGAAGTTCCTTTGTACTTCTTATGGGGCATGGGAGACAAGTATCCCTAGGAAGATTCATGAAGAGACTGTACGTAAAGCCCTGCCATCTTGTACTCAATGCACATCCGTGCCCGCGCTCCAGTCAGAACAGTGACATGCTCATTTAAAAGGGTGTGGGGGCTGCGTGGGGAGGGCCTGCACTTTAGCTTGCTCTGGGGTCCAGCAGCACTGACCTGGTGCCGAGAGGCAGACTCCAGGTCATGGAGGGGATTCTAGGCCAGGTGAGTGGAGAGTTTTGAACCCTGGGCTGGGTGTGGAATTGCTTTTAAACAAAGTGGGGAGCCAGCAGAGGGGCGGAAAGGGAGTGGTGTCCACGGATGGAAGGGGCTCCCTGGGCTGGACTTGTGGTCCTGCGTCTCTCTGAGGAGGGGATGGTGGTAGCCCAGGTGGCGGTAGTGAGGAAGTCCGCTTTTGAAGTGATCTGGCTGCTGGCTGTGCTCAGTCTAGTTTCCTGGAGCAATCTGCAGTTCAAGAGCACAAGTGTGTCTTGTCCTTTGATCAGCTGCTCCTACTGCAGCCTTCAGTTCTGTCCTGGCTCCCAGCTTGTGTTACTCTCCTTTGAGGTTCTCGGCAGGCTGGAGTATCACACCTTAGGTGCCAGCGGTCAGCTGGATTTGCTTGTCAGTTTACCAGAACACAGCACAGCCACTTTCAAGCCCGGTTCCTGGGAGGTGTCCACCTGTCCACTGCAGCTGTTTATGTAGCCGACACTGCTGTCTTGCTTGAAGTCAGTCCTGTGCTGGTTGTCCTCTGATGTGTCCTTAAAGCATAGACGTTCTCTTTATATATATTAGTGCGACATTTAATTAGTGGTTGCTTAAGTTTAATAAAGAGGGACGAAGCCCTTAATATTAAACCATCCTGTGAACTTGGGAAATGTGCTGCCTGTGCTAAGCTGAGGAGGCCACACTTCAGTCCAGCTGAGGGGGAGACCTCATCTGCCAGAAGTGAGGCGGGTTCTCTTGGGCTAATAACTCCAGCATAGGCTGTTCTCAGGAAGGGAGACTGTGCGTGCGCACGCGGGCTGGATGAAAGACCGTCTCCAGCAGAACCCAGCCCAGAGCAGGCTCATCATGAGAAACAAGGTTAATCACAGTCTGTTCTTGGACGAGTTTGCTAGCTCGCCTTCGTCTGTGTGTATGTCTATGCCCTAGCAGGCCATGTCTGTCAAAACTCTTGCATGCTCTGCCTTTTCCGGAGGCGTCTCTGATTAATCATTCATTCACTGGATGAGTGGAGAGTAAC